TAACAATTATAACATTTTGGTATCTCAAGATAATTGATATTGATCAGAAGGATATATATGGGAACACTAGAGAGGCAAGAGCTACTAATCAGTAGAATATGAAGCCACAAACACTTAATGTTCTCTCCCATTCGTTAAAGGTGCATTTTGCATTAAAATAAAAATAAAAAGTACAAAATAGAGCTATACAAACTACATAAAATGTGAAGTGTGGTTGGCATTGGCCTCTACCACACTCAAAAAGTCGGTGTTACAGGTTTGATCATCCTAAATAAATAACCTATCCAAAGCGAGCCGAGCACAAAAATGGGCCGTTTTGTTACAATCCTTGTGTAAAAAAAATAAAAAATAAAAAAACTTACTTAACATTGGTAAGAAAGGCAATGTCGGGTCCATTCCCAATGCATTGCTGTCAAACCTTCGCCTCCATGCTCTCTTGGAATGATCAGATAACCAATCTGTTGTCCCCTTCAATGATAATACCCTTGGTTTCAAACATCCAAACCTTCAAAATAGTACCTAAAGAGATAACTCCTTCATATTCGACCTACCAACTATCCTAACGCAACAAGGCAAGAACCAGTTTCCCATCCCATTTTCATGATAGATGACCATACTGATATGTCATCTCATGGTGCATAATGTTCCTATAGTGGCATTCACTTAGATGATGGTCATAATGACACGACTGATTCAGTGTTCTTAGACCCAATTCATTGCTAGTGGAACAACACAGATAGATGAGTATTTGAAGCTATTCAAAGATATGAACCGCCCGTATTTTCAGGAGCAATAGAACAAGTTGAGGCTGAGATTTGGTTGTTATGGATCGAGAAAATCATTAACGGTTTATCTTATCCAAAGAAGAGGAAAGTGTAATTGGCCACATTTGCTTGTAAGGGAGAACCAGAGAGTTGGTAGCAAAGAAAGATATAGGAAAAGTTTGGAGGCGAAGCAACAACTAGATTCAGTGAAAGAATATTATGAGGACTTTGTGATTGGTTTGTTCCTCTCTCAACCAGGAGATAGGTGCATGACCAATTTATTAGTTTGGTGCAAGGTGATCACTCTATTATGCAGTATGAGGTTGAGTTCGTGATGTTGTCCGGGTATGCACATTAATTAATCTCCAATACCAAAGAAAAGTGTCATAGTTTCTTAATTAGATTGAAAGATGTGATCAAACATCCTTTAATTCTTTTAGACATTAAGAATTATTCGATTTTGATGGGAGAGAGAGAAGGATAAAGATTGATTTGCAGACCACTCAAAGGCACAGAGTTTATATGATGATGAGGGGAGATGAAAAGACAAGATATGGATACGTCACTCAGGCTGTCTAGTCTAGGCATGTCCAGCCTGATGAAGCCAAGATCCACTAGTAGTGGTGGCGGCACTGACAGCAGTAGCGGTGTTATGAAATGTGCCAAGTGTGGGAAGGCACATAGAGGAGAATATTTGACGGGTACCACAATTTGTTTTTTGACGAGATTTTGCCCTACTTTGAGTTAGAGGCCTTTTGTAGAAATCAGGGCTAGCGTTTCACCTCCTCAGAGAAGTTTTGGTAGACAAATATTGACTGAGTCATCAAGATCAACTCTAGCTCGGAGAAGAACTATAAGGAATGCAATCTCGAGTTCATGCACTGACTCAATAGGAAGCAAAGGATTTACCTGACGTCATTGCAAATCTTTTTTTTATTTCAATAAATCTACCTAATTTGTATTTATTTATAAACATTTATATTCTTTTTATTATAAGTTTGATATTTATTCACAATAAATCGATAAGAACTTTATTTGATACTGAAGCATCATATTTGTTTGTTTCTGAAGAATTTGTGAGATCTAAAGGAATGGACTATTTGGGAAGTTTGATTCCTTGTCAGTCATTTTGTCAAATAGCTCTCGCTTAATGCCTGATATAAGTTGTGTAAATTTGACTATCTTTGGTAGAAGCTTGACATCAAATTTGATAATGTTACCACTAATCAATTTTAAAGTTATAGGTGTACATTGGCTATCTAACCACAATGCAACTATAGATTGCTCTAAAAAGAAAGTCAAATTTAATAAACCTAAAGAAGAAGAATTCAAATTTGGGGGAGATAGAAGAGTATGATCTATGATGATATCCATCTTAAATGTTTTCAAACTATTAGCAAAACCGTATCAAGATTTCCTAACTCATGTTAGTTATATTACAAAAGAATCAAAGAAATAGGAAGATATACTAATAGTAAAAGTGTGCCCAGAAGTTTTCTTGGATGAATTGTCAAGTTTATCTCTAAGAAAAGAGAGATTTCTCTATTGATTTAATATTAAGTGCAAAATCACTGGTAAATGCACCTTACAAAATGATAATTAAAAAGCTACAAAAACTAAAGAACTAATTGCATGACTTACTGGAGAAGAAATTTATCAAACTGAACACTTCCTCTTGGGGAGCTCCAGTGCTTTTTATTAAGAAGAAAGATGGGAGTTTATGATTATGAATTGCTTATTGAGAATTAAATAAGTTCATACTCAAGAATAAATATTCATTGCTAAAGTTTAATGATCTTTTTAATCAAATAGAAGGGGCTTTTATATTTTTAAAGATTAAGTTGTGATCGGATTATCACTAGCTAAGAATTAATGAAAATGACATAGCAAAGGTAGCTTTCAATATCAAATATGAGCATCATGAGTTTGGTGTGATGTCTTTTGGGTTATCAAATGCTCCCACCGTCTTTATGGATCTTATGAACAAAATTTTCAATCGATTGCCAAATAGATTTGTAATTGTCTTTATCAATGACATTCTGATCCATTTCACTAATGAAGCTCATCATGCAGATCATCCTCGCATAATTCTGCAAACACTGAAGAAGAACCAGTTATATGTCAAGTTATCAAAGTGTTAACTCTAATTGAGTAGCATAGCATTTTTGGGGTATGTGATCAGCAATGAAAGTATCCTAACGGATCAATATAAGGTTAAAGCGATACTTGATTGGCCCAGACCAACCACTATTATATAAGTTCATATTCTTCTTGAATATGACTGGCTATTACACGGGATTTATTGAGTTCTCTCAGATTGTGATGTCTTTGTTCAGATTGACACAAAAGGTTGTAATATTTAAGTAGAAGAATTGTTGTGATGAAGCATTTCAGAAGTTGAAGATGTGCTTGATGCAGTATTAATGATCCCTCCAGGACAAAAGGCTTTCAAATTTACAGTTTTGCATCTTTAAGAGGACTTGGATGTGTGCTTATACAACACGAGAAAGTATTTCTTATGCCTCTAGACAATTGAAGAATTATTCAACACATGATCTAAAGCTAGCAACAATTGTATTTGCTTTCAAGATATTGAGTCAGAGAAGTGTTCACTGATCAGCAATTACCAAAGCTTGAAGTATATTTTCACACAGAATGAGCTGAATTTAAGACAAAAGAAATGACTTGAGCTAATTAATGATTATGATTTGGAGAAACATTATCACCCAGGATAAGTAAATGTTGTAACAAACACATTAAGCACAAATACAGGTGGCAAAGCTAATTGGGTAATTATCAACAAGAATTAATTAAAGTAAGATGTAAAGTTAACAGGGTTCAAATCAAGCAATCAAATCATCAATGATGGTCGTGTTAGTTGTGAATCTCAGCTTGAGAGATCAATTTTTAAAATCAAAATTTTTAAAATAACTAATCAAAATATTTAAGTAAAATCAATCACTTAAGAAACTTAAAAGCAAATTTGAATCCGCTCTCCATAATATTTTTGTCGAGGGTGATAAACTATTGATTGACTTCAGCTCACAAAGAGGGAATGTCACATCGAATATATTGTTATATTCACACTCAAAATAGTTTCACACCATCATATTCACACTTATATTCACACTTACCAAGTCCTCTATCTACATGTTTAGTTGTAAAATGATACCACAAAGTCGTGGTTACGACCAAAACCTTCTAACCTAATGGTTGCCGCCAAATTGCACTATTATATTACAATCACAATCGCATCCCGTATGTTCCCCAACAGATTTCTACCTTTTGAGATATAAATCATAATGATACAATTGATTGTCATAACGTCTTATGTCAGCTAAAGTTGACTTAAAGTTGTCCCCTTAGACATTCACCCTAGATCTACAAATAAAGATGCTTCAGTTAGGTTGGGTCGACTACCTTCTCTGACTAAATAAATCAGGTACCAGGATGACCCAGAACGACAAAACCATGTGATCTTGGTCTAGTTCGTCATCATTTCCCCCACCATCCGCTTTAAACCACAAATGATAGATTTTACAATAAAAAATATATGTTTAATTCTATATATGTTGGTTATTCAGTGTTAAATGACTAACCTTAATTGAAAGTGCTCTCTCATTATTGGAAGGGGTAATTAATCATAAGAGTTTGCATATATAAGAAACCTCGAACCCCAAATCAAAAAATCCTCACAAAATGAGAGTTAAATCTCTGGGTAGTGTCTTATCTACTATTCAATCTGTCTTTTAAAAATTTTACCCTCAAAACTCTCACAACACAAACACAAATAATAGAGTCTAGAGAGTGGTCAAAATTTTCAGAGCCCATGGAAATAAAATAAAATAGAAGAATAATCATGACCTAATTTCATGAGTTTCAAAACATATGGAAAACGAAACTAGTACAAAAGGAAACTACTAAATCCAATAGCATGTCTCATGCATATTCTTGGTTTCCTACATGAGATTATTATCCCGAGGAATTTTGATCTAAACAATGTTGCCAAAGTGTTGTAAGGTTATGTCAGCTTGCAGTCTAAGTTATTTTTAAGATGAATTATCACTTTAAACAGGTGCGTATGTTTGGAGATGATATCATACAAGCCGACTCATGTAACAAATAGAATACGTGCAAATTATGCCTATTCTAGCAGAACAATAAATTTTTATTGGAAGTCCAACTTATATTACATTTCCAACAATATTAAAATTATGAGCATAATCTCAGCAGTACCTGGAAGGAATGAAGAATTTCGGCGCTTTTGTGCCCATGAAAATCTGTCAAAAGAAATGGTTGCATTAGAACTGAAGCAAATAAAATTTGGCAATGCAAAGTATATGAGCAGCAAGGTGGTGGGGTTGGCTGCGTTGAAAGAGGTTTTCGGAAAGGTGTTGAGAGAAGCTTTTTTAAAAGCAGCATGAGAGCACGGCCACTAAATATTCCGCCTATTTAGAAAACAATAAATCATGCAATAATAATACTACAGCAAGATTCTTTCCAAAGTAAATGCTTTAGAAAAAGAAAAGAAACAAGCATAAGAAACAAGGTCACTCTGTGTGTGCGTCTATATATACATATATATATATATA